CTATCTATCTATCTATCTATCTATCTATCTATCTATCTATCGATGTAAAAGGGTACATTAAAAGAAAATCAAAAATAAAGTCAGGTAGCAAAACAGTTAACTAGGCTTTAGCAGAGAGAATATATTAAATATTGTCACTTTGATTAATTATGAATGGATTTATATTTACAAATGGGGCTTTTTAATTGGTTTAACCATCAGTGCGGAGAAATTACAACAACAACAACAAAAAAAACCCAACTCAGCGATTTGTTGGATTTATGCTTAAATAGATCAAACAAAAATTATCAAAATGTTAACTAATGACTGTTACAATAGGCAGTAAAGACAGGGTGGGATGAAATGTATATACTTTTTTATTTAACTTTTTTATTTTTATTGTTAAGTGTAATTTGTTTTATACAGTCTGAATTATTTCAGTATATTACTGGACTAAACAAGATTAACCTTGTTACCGATTTGTGTTCTGCAGCACCATGGACAGTGCACTGCACAGACATTTATTTTTTGGCACCCTCTGGTGGCTAAATGTAATAATTACACTGGTCGTCAGAATTATCTTATGTATTCCCTACAAAACGTCGTATAAAAAAAAGTAGGAGCAAATTTTTTACTATCCATATAGTACATACTCGACGCTCAACAGAATAGAAGAATAAAGTCATTTTAATCAAATATTTTGTGAGTAAGAATGGCTTATTCATAAAATATTTTTTCAGGATACCAAGGGCCCAAAAAAGGAGAAACCTTTAACTTTACTATAGATCTTCAGCAAGGATGTAAGGACATACAAATGGACAGATACTAAAACAAACTGTAGCTGCTAATTAGAAAAAAAAGGTTAAATTTAACCCAAACATTTAAATCTTGCTGGCATACACGTGAGACAGGCCAAATCAACAAGGATAGTAAAAATATTTTACCCAACAAGCAAGGTGAGGTTGTATCAAAAAAGAAGAAGGCAAATACTTCAAAGTAAAATGATATGACAGATAAAGTAACTGTCAATTCCTGGTGTGCCATTCTAATAAATCAAAAACTAACAAACACTATTGTGTAGCATATGAATGCAAGGCCCTCTGTGAATTTAGTGTAAATTCCTCTTTCAGTTTGTAAAACATACATATGTTGATTAAGCACAATTGTACCATGGAGATATAAAACTGTGTATAGTTATTTTCTTGTTTTCTGTTTTTCTCCTAATACATATTCAATTATTATAGATTTTATTCGGACAAGAGCGAGTGAGCAGAAACCATTTCTATGTGGTTTGTCTGCCTCCAAACTGAAACAACATGTTTTTATAAACCCTGCTGAGGAAGAAAACGAGATTTGAAAGTTTCTTAATGACAATAAGAGTGTTGGTCTGACCGTTCCTCTAAAAACCATCTTACTCTGGAGCCGCCTGAGGTGACCCAAGCCTTGTGTTTATTTCCTGGTAATATTGCTCATCAAGAATGACTCAGAATGTGAATCTCTGAGTAGAAATCTCCCGATCTATGCAGCATGAATTCTCTGAATAAAGATATGCAGCTGTTTAGCTCTCGGCTGCTTTAAACTCAGCACCCACATGATTCCTGTGTGACCTAAACACCTCTCTGCATTGTCTTCTCACTTTAAGCCCACTCATATTTATTACCATAATCATGGTCACGGAGCTTCTTAAAAATCTAATTTATTCTTCTACAGAATGATGAAAGGAGCTCAGAGAAACATAACTTGATTAATATCAGTCTAATAAAATTTTACATCCAGAGAAGATTTGTCTATGAAAGAAACATTAAAATGTATAATGCAATAAAATGTAGTATATGTTTTAAAAGATCCTTCTTTGTGCTACCAAAGCGGCTCTTGAAAATGTTAGCAAAAGTTAACAGAGTTCAGTCCCCTAACATTTAGAAAAGGTCCAACAGCTCCAGCAACCCTAAACAAACATGATGCAGAATCAGAAAACCACACCATGTAAAAAGAGGGAACTAAAGAATCAATTTGACAATCTCATATTTAGCAGCATTATTTAGATTCAAACCTTCAAATCTATAAGAAAGTGTGGCTGTTTTATGCCATGCACCTAGAGTTTAGGTTGCTGGAGGTATTATGCTGGGGGGATATAACTTGTCGTTATACCATGAACATATGTGCCACAAATGATGCATCATCAAAATAGTTCAATCCATATGAGGACATTGGTAGGCAGAAAAAGAGAGACATGTCATGGATGAGTAACCGGTCGGCAACACTGCACAAAACGTTTATACTGTGAAAGCTCCAAGGAATAATTAAAACGTTATCTTGAATTTGTGGCATTAAGGCAGTTCTAAAGGCAATATAAGTTAAGTACAAAGGTGTACAAAATAAAAGTAAGTTATTGAAAAAGTGTGTATAGATTTTTTCTTTATAAGAACTCATTGTAAAGTAGGCCTACATATTCAATTCAATTGAGTTTATTTATATAGCACCAATTCACAACACATGTCATTTCAAGGCACTTTACAGCTCACCAGATCATACAGTCAAATTGATTCAGAGTTTTCTATCTAAGGAAAACCAGTTGATTGCATTGACTCACAAATGTAATCCCACACACGAAGCATGCTTGTAGCGACAGTGGAGAGGAAAAACTCCCTCCAGCAGAACCAGGCTCAGTGTGAGCGGCCATCTGCCGAGGCCGCCGAGCAGAGATTATATTCATACTATGGAAAATGTTTGTGTTGTTCAATTTGTACTTACATAATTTTAAAATGAAAAGCTATTAGTCTGAAATAAAATCTAAGGATAAAGAAAAGGGATTCCCTGTGATATGGATTTTAAGCCACTCAGGAAATATTCTATTCTATTCTATTCTATTCTATTCTATTCTATTCTATTCTATTCTATTCTATTCTACAAACTCTCAAAATCAGTTTATTTGTCTTTTAAACATTTCATAAACTTTAGGCTGATGGATTTTTGTTCCATAATATGGAACATTAAATCATGCATACTTTATGCAGGCTGTCGTTTTTACGTTATGCTATTATAAAAAATATTTATTTCAAATAAATCGCTCCCTTTTTTCAGCTCATAACTTTGGTGTTACATTTAATATGTTACGTTGGATCAATATTGACCGCTATAGGCGCAGCCTTGGAAAAATGGCGTCTGATGCAGGTTGCCCAGAGACCAGAAGCGGGACTCTCAGTGACAAAAACAACATCAGTGTTTTTAAAAATCATCTCTTCAAGGCATGAAGTCTGCGTCGAGACTTGCGTCGGACAGGGGAGCGCAAACCATCCGCCTTCATTATAAGGACCATGATGGGAATCTACGGTAGCGCTGCTGCACAGATATCTAACCAACATGAACGTCTTTACGCGTCAAAGGGGACATGATCGCCGCGCGCCCGTTTATCGCCCGTTTACGATCGAAGAAGAAGTGACCTTCTCCGAGGCGGAGGATGTCAGCCCTGAAAAAGGTAAGAAAAAGAGGCATGGAAGTAAGAAGAAAGGCGGTGTGTTTGTTTATGCACGAACCGAGCCTGTGACGCGGCTTGTTTTTCTTCCTATTATTGGGTTAAAATCCAGGTGCATCTCCTCCCCTGACGTATAGCAGGGACTTTTTAAACTGACCACCTAATACAAAGTGGTAACGCACACGCGTGGACTGAAAGCTCCCATCTTAAGAAAAAGCCAGAAGTTCTGCAGAGCCAGGATGAGTCACTCAGTTACTGATATTCACTTTGTCAATTCTCAATCAATAGCATTCAAACTCCTATGATGTGTGGGTGAGGTGATGAGAGGAGGTTGCCTCCTTATAATGTTGGGGTAGGGGGGTGGAATGCGGGACCCACGCATGTTTCTGAGAGTTCCTTCCGTTTATAATTGCCCACATATCCCCATTGTGTTGTTCCCTGCCATTCAGTCAATCTGTGTATATATATATGTGTGTGTGTGTGTGTGGTGACTCAGCCGTATTGTACTATATCTGTCATCCATCTTTTCATCTGTCACAGGTGTTACCATGGCTACTACAGACTCACTGCTGTCTTTTCTTTGAGAAGGACTCAGGTAAGCAGTGGGAAGGGTGACTCATTCACCTTTAATGGAGACATGCTCAGTTTAATAGACAGTTTATCTTTTTTACATCTTCTAGCTGTTTTTGGCAGTGGTACTAAATTGCAAGAATGAGACATGGGAGGGATTGACACCAGTCAGAGAGGGAAAAGCTATGAGAAAGTAACTTTTATTGATAGTTCCTCTTACTCTTTAAGGTATTTCAAAGTCTTTCTTTCTTTCTACAAAAAACACTTTAGACTTTTAAAAACACACTATTCAAACATTTAAACAACTGACGTAAAACAAGTGTCAGTTAAAAATCACTATTAAGGTAAAAACAAGTGTCAGTTAAAATCATTAAATGAGGAGCTTGTTAAAATGTAGTTCTCCATCATCTGACACAGTACATAAAATTTAGTTAAAACCCCACAGCTGAATAAAATCCTCCATGTTCTGTGTGGCTCTGTGGAAGTGAACCTCCAGCCTTAGTCTGGCTTTAATGTTGCACCTCCACAGAGCCACGGCATCAAGGTGAGGTCCCTCCTGAAGTCTGTCTCTACGGGACAGGTAAATGGCCATCTTTGCTTTGCTGTTAAAAAAATGTAAAAGTCGGGCCTTTGGCTTATTCCTTCTGTTTTGAAAAACTCCTCCTATAAAAAGAACCTTTGTAAAAACCGTCCCAAAAACACTAAAAACACAAATTAAAAGGTTAAAAAATTATCTTTAGCCTTGTTAATTCCATAAAAACGTGGAACACGTTTTCAGACAGACCGCAGAAAGGACACTCGTTTAAAACACCCCGAGTAATAACGGATAAAATCGAGTTTGTGGTGATGGCGCTGTGTAAAATCCTCTATTGAAGATCACCAGTTAGTTTTTTGATCTGAGGCTTGTATAAAGTCCTCCACTGGGGTGCTTTTCCATGAAGTTTTTCAGACCAGATGCAGACCGGCCGGTTCTGAAGGTGTCGTTGGTTAATGACTTTTGTGCAGCTGTGGTAAAGGGCTTTCTGGTCGAAAAAAGAGGAGAAAACAGTGAACCAAAAACTCAGGAAACTAATCTAAGAGGTTTCTATATAATCCGATATCTGTAAATGGAAAGGCTGACAAAAATTACCGATCTATTACAACAGGTTATTCTACTTAAACTGATGGAGAAACTAAAATATCGTTCATTAAAGCTACCAAAAGGCCAGTGTTAACTCTATAATAGTTGACGAGATCCACATCTTAGGTGGAAAATGTTGTTGCCTTGACAACTGCTAGTCACAGACAGAGCCACAGTGATAAGAGAGTTCTGACAAGTCCATTCGGGACAATGTGCAACATGCATACAGAGCTTAAATAGTTCGAGGGAAGTTAGCCACTCATTCATTGCCATAGACATTAT